TGAGAAAATCAGCACGCGAGAACTTATCCTCACGCATTCATGCTGTAATGTGCGGTCTGCCTTCTCTATATTTTGAGAATGGCAAGACATCAGATGCTGCCGAATGACTGAAACAACTCGATGGCTCACGACAAAAGGCTGATCCGTGAATAATGGTAAGCTTTGTCGCGTGGTGTATTACGGGAACAAAGTATCTCTGAAGAGACCGCTTGTGAGCAATGTTTGTTTCTTCCCCTATAGCGGTATCGTAGCTATGCGGTACATAAATGTCGCCCTTTAGATCGAAATTCATGTGCTAGTTTATTGTCATCAAACGAAACTAGTTCTAGCTGACAATTTCGAGCAAATTCATGTACTGTTTATAATTAGCCGTGATGAACAATGTGATCTGCTGTCATCAGATTACATATTATATGATATTATAAGTATATATATATATATATATATATATATATATATATATATATATATATATATATATATATATATATATATATGTATATAATACACAATATTTGATACTTAATACACAATATCATATGTTGTCAAACAATGTCATAAAATATATGATGTTATATGCATAATATAATATATGTATATATATATATATATATCACGACCCGGGCTCGCACTTCCGTGCCAAAACTCGGCCCTGCCGTTCATTCGGAGCTTGTGTCCATAGATTCCGTGGCGCCCTGACACACACTTTTTGAAGGGATTGCGTCGATATTTAAAACGGCGGACGACTACGCATTGTTCCAGCAATGCGTATGCAATTTTTCCCAAATTTTCACTACACCCTTTAAAGAGCTCATCTCTAGAAAATTCTCTGTGATTTTATGCAAACTCCAGCTTGCTGCTGGGTGCTTTAGGTCAAACGGCGCTTTTTTTTGTTAGCCTCTTGCAGTAATTACACAGATTCGTAACAACTTAACAGGTTAATAGCTATTATTCGTGGTGATGTTAAGTGTTTTGCATCGCACTCGCCGTAATGTCGCTACTCCAGGTAAACAATCTTTTTTCTTTCTTTTTTCTTTTTTTCCCAGACTAATTTCTTTAAGAGACCCAGACAATTCTTCCCAGACTAATTTCAACCCATTATTGTTTTTTAGCATTCCTGGGGGCCCTTGCAGAAAGCAGCGAGACTGCAGATCTTCATTGCTCGACCTCCCGGTAACCCTGCTCAACGCACGCTGACCCTCTCTTGCGTCCCGACCTGGTTTATTCGACGCCGGCGCCGGATTACATGCGTGCTGTTTCGAGTTTCATGTGTGTGGTTCCGGGCGTGCTGGGCCAGCACACAAGGTGACCTTGCTCCTGCTCAAGGTCAGCTTGAAAAAAATTAACTTTAGACTAGCTGTTTGTTGCTTCTCATACTGAGTCCCAGCACAACTTTATACAATGGTTATCGATGTGCTGTGAGGACTGTGGAACACTTCCTTTAAAGGAAATATTTCACAATTGGAGATGTTGAAGCAAGCATCAGATATGATGGAACAAGCCCACTTATAACTATTGGCATACTTTTTGAGCAGAGAAGATTGCTCTAGACAGCGCAATTCTATGTTTAGTAAATATACTCCGCAATGGGTCATGGTTTGATTACGTCATCGTAGCTTGCACAACATTGATTGCGAGCCAATTGACGGCCGCTATATCTGAAAGTGGCGCCCCCGACCACCAGATATGAACGCCTCGACGAATGTATGTCTTCCTGGCCTTGATCGCCGCATGGCGTGTGAAATTGCATGATTTCAATGGCGTTTCTATGTCGTCATGAATGCCAAGGTGACTTTGAAGAACTCTCCCCGAAAAACTCACACGATTTTCCGCGCGCGTGTAGCTCAGAAACCGGAGCGGCTTAGGTCATGAGATGGACAGGGCTGTGCACAGCACGGCAACGCCTTCAAGATGGCTGCTTCAGTTCGAAACCCAATATAAATGTTGAACTCTCCCTTGAGTGCCTGAAGAGGCGTGTGCTGGCTGATAATCCTGTCAGCTTGAAATGAAAACACCTGACCTGTGACCACCAAGTGACAGTCGCTGGTAAGTACATCAGAAAAGGTAAAATATGGAGCATTTCGACCGAAATAAGAAAGGTGTTCTTTCATATTCTCTGGGCATGTGTAAACAATATCGTGAACAGTGAGTGGTGCATTGCCACGGGGGTGGTATCGCCAGTCTCAACCGCACAAAAGGTAGCGTATGTCGCGTGAGTGCGGTCGATTCGTTTTCCGCCAAGAGTCGATTCTTTTCATCGTGACTTGCGCCGACTCGGCCATAGCTGGCAAAGGCATAGGCATAGGCATAGGCACTCGACCATAGGCATAGCTGTGGTTTTATTATATCAAGCTGATTGCTTCTCGTGACATCTGAGCAGTGTTGCAGTGCTTATTTAATCCAGCCGGCTATGGCTGGGTCAAAGTTTCTGGCAGAAAAGGGCAGGCGACATGTACAGGGTGCACAGGGCGCTCCCTTTGCAGATGTATCCACAAGCCCGTTACCTGCGATGCCAACATGGCTTGATACCCAACAAAGCACGACGGGCCCTTTCCGAGCGATCTTATGTTGTTAGCACTGAAAGGTCCAGTATAAGGCGACATAGTGGATTGAAAGTCATCAAAGCCAAAATACTTTCATGGAAGGCTCCAAAGGCTTTCAGAGCCTTTAACAAATTCAAAGAAGACTTTTCAAAGGTTTGCCAGAACCAGGTGTAAATTGGTGTAACCAACTTCACTAAAACTGAGAGTTGTGGCGACAATCTCAGCGGAATACCCCGAGGCTTGTTTTGGCATCTAGGAGGACCGTGCCGTGTATTCGCATACGAAGATGAATCCAGCCCCCTCATTCGTCTTGGAGCCGTCTGCGCAACGAAGTTTGGAACTTTACGTAAGATGCGGTGAGTTGCAAGGTCCTAGACCAAATGTCTTTGAAGCACATCGCTATTCCTAAAATCGGCTAGGGGCCCATCCACGCCTGCTGCTGCCAGCCGCCACGGCGGTGCCAACGGGTGGCTTGGCCTGGATGCAACTCGCAGCTGATGCCACTCGCTCGGAATTGCTGCGTTATTTGCAAACCGAATGGAAGCACGTAAAGCCGCCTTCTCCCGCCTAGCACTGAGTTTTCGATGTGACGTGAAGACACCTTCGTGAGCTGGGTGGCTTAAGAACTGAGCTAGCTGAAAGGTATATCACATCGGGAGTATTTCCCTTCTTGGTGCCGACATGGGCTCTGCTTCCACCAGGAGGCTGGCAACTTGTAAACAGAACATCCATGATCAGTTTCGAACGTATCGGTGAATGCTACAGAAGTGGAAGCGTCTTTCTGTCCGCGCCATGCGGTGCTCGAGCAACACACTTCATGGCGCTTAATGCTTAATAACACTTGTCACGTTGGGTTCTCATATATAAGTGATATATCAAGCGTTTGTCGAATATTATCCCCGAGCAACGGAAGCAGCTTCGTTCGGAATAGTCCGCCCATACAATATAACTGCCATCGTGAGGCAGTGACGTTTACAAAAGTGCATGGCAGCGGGACTGGACGCTAAAACTTGGAATTCATTGATAATGTTTAAGGTTAACGGATGCAATTTCAGCTATGTTTTGGAAATCAGGGCACCTTAACTGACTTCGACCCTTAACACGCGCTCGGGTGGGGGCCAAATCGCCCTCCCCCCCCCCGGAAGTTTTTCAGAATGGTTTCTGAACGGTGCGGTGTAGCCGCGTCAAATTTTACATAGCTGTAGACAATTGAATAACAGATTGTTTGGCATCACAAATTTACATGTACCTTGCAAGGTCGCTGACCTATGGCCGGTCAAACCCATTAGGGAATCCTTCAACCTGATCCAACAACGGAGTGTTAGACGAGACCATACATATCTGAGATGCTTCTTGGACAACACAACGGTTGAATGTGCAAATTGCACTGACCTAAGGTCAGGTATGAAGATCACACCTAGGTCAAAACCAACCTGTTTTGTTACTCTAGGGCTTGCTGTATGGGATAGTTCCAGGCGCTCATTTCAAATTTATTAATAGCATAAACCGCATTACACATCTTCCATGGGCTTCTTAGAGGTCAGAATAGGTCATTGACCTAAAATGACCCAGGTCAATATTTTGTTTCAGGAACATGCTGCCTAGCGTAATCCTTGCCGCCTAGTCAAATGCAAAACTCAAAACGATCTTAATGATTTAAGTCACCTTGACACTCAACAGGTCAAACAAGGTCACTGGCCTTGAGTGAGCATGTCAAATTTTACTTAGAAACGGTTATCTAAGTTCTGGGGGCACTTTGGAGACCAACCTGGAACTCGAAATTTTTTTACCTTTTTTGACCCAAAATTCATAACCTAGGAACCTGAAATTTTGACCGAAGTGAGTTCACATACAGATCAACACACCTTGTAAATTTGCTGTTTCTAGCTCTCGTAGTTCCTGAGATCTCAGGGGGTCAAATTGCCCCCCGCCCGAGCGAAGGCTATCTAGCCGGCCACCCGGGCGCGTGCTAAGCCAGCATCCCCCGCCCACAGGCAGTTGCTCATGGATCAGATACGCTTGACTGGCTGGCATTGCGCCAAAGCTGCAGGCAACTTAGGCTGGTGGAAAGTCCAGCATTAAAGGAATTTAATACAGTTTTGGAGTGAGATTCATGTGATGAAGTCACGGGATGTTAAGCTTTTGGATGTTTTGCGTCCCGCTCGCCGTTAATTTCGAAAGCTTTCAACGGACTGACGTGGTCTGTCTTGACAACGCAAAACTTATCCAAGATGGACGCTACATCTTCAGCTGCTTGCTATGCCAGGCCCCGGAGCAATGCGCCGGATGGCAAAATTCGAAACCCTTTTGCTCTACAGAGGCGAGAAAATGTAAGACTGGGCTGAAGCCACCCTTAAATATAATACGTGAAAACGTGACTACTTCTCACTGTCCAGCTAGGTCTCCTTCATTATACTTACGTCCGCTACACACTCCATAACAAATAGCTGATGGTGATCGAAACATGTATTGTCTCCGTGTTATGGAAATGCGAGACTAAAGCTGGCTCAAAATGGTATGAAGTACGCGAGTGCATGCGCTTTCGAGGTGATGGGCTGCCAGAGCAGATCATAAAAATGGAGGCACACGTCACACAAAAGCCTCCGGGTATTGGACCTTTTGACATCGAGTGCACATATTATAAGCCACTTGGTGTATGTTAAAAATTACTTTCACAAAAAATCAAGGATTAAAATGAGTGGAACAGCAAGACTCAGCGCCGGTACCAATTAACTCAGTAAATCCGAACCAAGCGCTGATGCGGCGTAGTGGTGATAACCAGAACCTTATTGCTGAAAGCAATCATTCAGAAAGTGGAACCAATGACGAACCCAATGAGCTGAATCACACTTGATCGATGCAGGCATGATCACCGCGCATGACCAGCATGGAGGCGAGCCAGGTCACGTATAGACACACATCCTCTCGGCACGCGGAGACAGGTCGTATCGCAGACAGGTAATAAATGCACTCGTACACAGATAATGCATGCACGGACCTATTTACACATCAACGTGCGCCCCACGTATACCAAGCGTCAATAGAGTGCAACACCAAAATTTATAAGAGACGTTGCCTCCCTCACTTTTCTTCCACAACAGAAGCCCTCTGTTGGCACAGAGCCAACGTTGAGACCAGCCGGAGGATGGCACTGAGCCGAACTCCGCTGCCGTGACCGATCTCCGCTGTTGTGGCTGATCCCTGCTGCCGTGGCCGATTTCTGCCGCCGTGGCCGATCTCCGCTGTCGTGGCTGATCCCCGCTGCCGTGGCCGATTTAAGCTGCTGTGGTCGATTTCCGCTGCCGTAGTCGATCCCCGCTGCCGTGGCCGATCCCCGCTGCCGTGACCGAGCTCCGCTGCCATGGCCGATCACCGCTGCCATGGCCGACTTCCGCTGCCGTAGCCGATACCCGCTGCCGTGGCCGATCCCCGCTGCCGTGGCCGATTCCCGCTGCCGTGGCCGATACCCGCTACCGTGGTCGATCCCCGCTGCCGTGGCCGAGTTTCGCTGTCGTGACCGAGCTCCGCTGCCGTGGCCGATCTCTGCTGCCGTGGTCGGGTTCCACCTGCCACCGGCTACCGAGGACGGTGGTATGGACTAGGAGGGGCTTCAGGATGGCTGACGGGTCAGAGCGGGTGGCTCACGAGTCGCTGCCAGACGAGCGGCTGCGGCTGGAGGCGGGCCGAATCCAGCGGCAGGCCGGGTCTCCGAACCCCACCGCGTCCGGGTTCATCTGCTCCTCCAGCGAGGAGGCCAGCAGCTGTTGGGGCTGGACGCTAAAGGAACTGGAGCGGCGGCGACCGGCCGGCCTCGGCCCCGAGCCCGCGTGGTCCTCCGGAGCCGAAGAGGCCCGCTGCCCCGTCCAGCCACCGCGGCGATGACGGCATGATTGGGACGCTGGTCCTGACGGTCCGCCGAGACCGTCCTCTGGGTGGGAGTCCTGGCCGGCAAACGGCGGCCACGGGAGAGAGTCGGGTGGCAGGGGCACCTGCTGGATCCAGGTCGGGTCCCACACCAGCGCCTCCAAAGAAGGCTCATATGCCTGCGATGTACTGGCAGAGGTCGGCTGAGTGGCGAAACAATCTTGAGAGCCACTCTGAGCAGCCCCTCCCACGCTCTGAGCATCTGACACGACCGGCGTCGATAAATCTGCGAAGCCGGGTAAAGTTGGAAAATGCTCAAAGAGCTCATTGTCCAGGTCCCCAGCGGGATCAAAGTCCAGCGCCTTTAAGCCAAACGGCGGGTCGCCACGTTGATTGGGTACAACGAATGCCTGGTCTTCCTGCGCGCTGGAATCTGCAGCATCCATTACTGGCAGCGTGACATCTACAGTGTTCTCATAGTCCCTGCACTGAGGGATAGCTGGCACAGAGGCAGTGGCCCCACTGGTCCTGCTCCCCGTGTGGCGATGTCTGCACGCGGAAATGGGTCCATCAGCTCCCGTTGCACGCGCGACAGCGTTTGTCGCGGCATCCCTGGCGCCTGAAGGCTGGATGTCTGCAGAGCCAGTGTCACCGCGGACGTGCATTGGATCCGCAGCGCCTCGGACACCGTCGAGCTGATCAGTTTGACTGGACGCGCTGGTTTCGACGTCGGAGCTCACGATCATCACGTCTATGGTAGCAGTTTCGTCTTCCTCTTCCGTGTCATTTGCGTCTTCCTCCAGGCAGAACTCAATATCGCCAGCTAACAGATCAGGGATATCCTCGATGTCCACCTCGACAACGATCGTGGTATCTGCCACCTCATCCAAACCAGACACAGCTCTTCTGACCGTGCCAGCCAAATGGCCAGTGGAAGCTTCGGCATGAGATCCTCTCTCGGCAAAGGTTTGGTTTATGACACTGCTATTCCCAAGTAGAATATCCGACGAGGAGACGACTACGGAAACTGTGGCATGGTTAGCAGCACCTCGATCTCTGCTCGTGCTGGGACTGCACGGCGCTCTACCAGTCGAGGGAGAGAACCGCAGTTGGGAGATGACTGATCCAGGTAACTTGGACTTCTCTTTGACCTTGTCTTTGTGTAACGCTAATGTCGCGAAGAAACGTTGCCGTTTGGCCTGAACATCTCTAAACCTTTCGTCACGACTGTCATCGCCTGGTTCGTCCCCTCCGCGTTCTCTATGGCGGCTTCTCGTCCTAGCCGCTGCTCTCCCCAGCCAACCATGCTGCAGGTACATACGAGCTCTGTTCGCTCTTTTTTCAAGGACAGTCTTCCGTCTCGCCTGGCGCTGTAGCTTAGCCGCTCGCCTCGCTCGTTTCGCTTTCTTCCGCTCGCGTCTGAGTTTTCGTCTGTTGGCTTCAGCGTTCAGCATGCTGTCCATGGCCTGTCGTCCACTTTTGGTCGTGCGCTGCGTCGCAGGGGGGCCGATGGCAATATCCGAGACACCTTCTGGTGCCGATCGGGGCTTCGAACAGTCTCCATTTGGCTCTGAACCTTCATACCTGGCTATACATGCGTTCTCTGCAGAATCCACAGCAGCAAGAGATTCGTTCTGAAAGGAGCCAAGCACCATTGATTTCCGGCCTGCGTTCTCCTGCGAGCAGGCTTCCTCGGAATCTGTGGATCCTGTAGGGGTGGTTGATCGCGGCTGCGACGGATCAGAATACGTTCTGCGGGTGCGGAAAATGACCTTGCGCGCCATGGTGTGGGATCCGTTGTTGGATGCGCCGGGTTCCTGATCAGCGTTTCCACTGAACAGATGCCCGCCCGGCGCTGTGGAAGCAGAGCCTGAGCCAGCCGGCTGTGCGCTCTGCTGCTGTGTTTCAGCTGGTGGTCTCTCCTGGAGCTGTCCCACATCCTGCTGTCTTTCCTGACCGCTTTTATCGGCGGCTGACTCCCCGGTCCTCACTTCCGAGGGTGCGCCGCTTGACGGTGTGCCGCTGGCAGCTTTCCTGCCCACACTGGCATCCTGTTTGTTTATATATGAACTATGTGGTCCACTTTACACACCCGTGCTGCCGCCCTGCCTCTCGGCCGCCCCTCGCTCCGATGGATCGCCAGCCACGAGTCTCCGATTTAAAAGACAGGCTGCTCTCATGGCGGTCCTTTAAGTCGACTAAGTCTACGCAGGGTTTAGTGGCAGATCCAGGATGTAGATAAAACTGGCTACCTCCGCCGCCGCATCCGTCGAAGAATGCTTTGATAGTAACGATGCAATCTTCGTTTGACAGCCAGTTACCTGCGAGGTCTGACCTGAGAGTGAGCTGAGCGGTTGCCGAGGGTGCAGTTCGCTCAGAAGTCAGAGAAGTCAAAGAGTCAGACACGGTCGGCCGAAACTAATGGACATTCGTCTAAGAAAATGTCGACGAGAGCATCTTTTTCGTCTGATTCATTAGTTCTTCTCAGCAGCTGTTCACTTCCACCATGGTGTTCGTAAACCTCGCCGACTAGCCCGAGCGGAAAGGTCACACCAGTGCCCTCGACGCTTGCAGAAGACCACTCAGAGCACCTCATGATGGACCGAAGTCGCACCGGGACGCTGGACGACTGGCTCTGCCGCCACTCCTCCGGAGAAATCAAGGTGACCTCAGCCACCGCGCGGTCCCCGTGTTGTCCTTCACTCCGAATGCGATGCAGGTCCGTGATGCAGCCTCCGCACTGTCCGCGGCGGCAGGCACAGATACCTGACGGGCTATCCGACGGGTCCGGACCCGATCGGCCCCGACCGATCGGGTCGCGTCCCCGCGCGTGGGCCTCGTCGGCATCGCGGTGATGGCGGGTGCCGTCATCGGTCAGACGCCGCCGCTCGGACAGCGGACTCAGCTGATCACAGTCTGAGCGGCTGTGCGTCTTGCGCTCACAGTCCTTCGGTTTTGCACCTTCGGAGCCGGACTCCTCGTTTTTTTGAACGTCACACACGTGGGCCTGGCTCTCCAGCCCGTGGTCTTGGTCCACGGGCCCGGCGCAGGTGCAGCGCTCGGTGTCGTTAGGAGTCCCAGGCGTGCGCTTGGTTTTTCTGTTGGCCTTAATTGTCTCCTCTGTGGTGTTCTTCCCGGGAAGGTGGACAGTGGTACACTGCACGGATTTGTCCTGAAGGTCACCCACTTTATAGCAGTTCCGATGTTCAAGATCAGCAGTATCCACCTGCACAGCCCGGTCGACGTGAGACGAGCGATCGGTGTTTGATGTCCTTCCACCAGCAAAATTATTCTGGTCTGAATCATCGTCTTGACATGCGGTGGAGAAGAGCTCTTTTTCCTTAAAGTCAACAACGACCGAACGCGTAATCTCTCCCAGTGCTTCGCACATACGCAGGCAGGCTTGCTGCTTTTCCAAAGTAGTACTAGTGCCATGTTCAGGCACACCCTGGCCCTGGCTCCAAAGCTCGGAGCCATCCACATCCGAGATATCAAAGATCCGTCTTGCAGCCTCTCGTTCTGCATTGCTGTGCGGAGCTTCCTGTACTTTATGCGCCTTGAGGTCCACAACTATTGTGTATTTCTCCACGCAGTCCCCGAAGTCGTGCTGGTACCCTTCTGCGTTGTTCGGCAGAGCGCCCTGTGTCTGCTCCTGGTGATTGTTAGGTACCCCTTCCCTGCTTTGAATGTTTCCGGGGCTCGTAGTCCACCAAAGCCGCTCGCCTTGCTGGTTCCAATGCATCTGGGTACCTTGCTGATCCATTGGCACATCTGGATTTAACAGAATGACGTTTTCCCGAATTTCGCTGTCAATATGGTCTACCCAACCCTCTTCAGGGGAAGTAGAAGGTGACTGCACACACCCCTGTTCGGTCCTCGCACCTCCAGTGAACACTTATTCGCCCTCCGCAGCTGCACGGCAACTCTCCATGCTGGAAATCGCATCCATGACAGGGGGTCGCCGCTCTGGACAAAGGCGCCGGACCTCTCGAGGGGCGCTCCTCACTCCCTCCTCTGTCCAGCCTGGGACCTATTTCCATGTGTTCCCTATATCGTGTTTCAGCGCTTGTTTCACGATGTACTCCAGGATGTGCTCCAGGGTATGCTTCAAGTTGTGTTCTGGGATACGCTCCGGGGTGTGTTCCGTGGGCTGCTTCATGGTGTGCTCCAGGGTGTGCTCTATGGTGTTCTCCAGGGTGTACTCCAGGGTGTGCTCCAGGCTGTGATCCAGGGTGTGATCCCGGGTGTGCTCCAGGGTGTGCTCCAGGACGTGCTTCAGGGCGCGCCTCGGGACGTGTTACCGGATGTGCTCCCAGATACGGTCTACGTCGTGCTTCGGGTCGCTCTGTCACGCCTCGCCTCGCCTGGTTTCCCCGGGTCGACCCAGGTGAATGATCGCCCTCCAGCAAGTGGAAGAGGAAGGCCGCGCAGAGTAGCAGCTCCAGCGGCATGTGGTATACGACGGTCGTGTCCCCCGCCGGATTGAAGACGACAATGGTGACCTGCCTGGGCAGGTTCCGGCGCGGCGTCATTGGTAGGCCGGTCATGACCACCTCTTTCGGCAACGCTCCGTGGGCAGAGACGGCTGTGGTCGTGACTGGCGAGAGCAGCCTGAAAAATAAAGCCATTAGTTTCAGCGGTGAAGAAGTTGAAGTCAGTCATGATGTTCAGGAGAGGGTTTGGCACAGGCGGCGGGCGAACGTAACGTGAATGGCACGTCCTGGCTTGGGACCAGAACGCTACCCCTCACCAAGAAATACGAAGACACAAAAAGACTAGATTCAGATGGAAAGAGCTCCTTATAGTAACTTCGCCTTGTAATGACCTGTTCGGTGGTCCAGTGGTTAGAACAACCAACCGCTATAATTGCAGCATTTTTTGTTTGAAGTCTGAATTTATTAGAAAGAACAGGGGCCACGTGCGAAATGCATTCGGGATTGATGTTCCCGGGTGCCACAAGTAAAAAAAGAAACATTTTCTCATAGCTATGCGAAGATTTGTTTTAACATCACAAGGAACGGAAACGAAACTTAAGACTCTTTTGTGCAATCAACCATGATTAGGTAAGTTACCGCATGGTGGCTATTCAAGAAAAAATCAAGACAACACGAGTATGCTGCGGAGCGTGCTTCCCATGGATCTGTTTTCAGATCCACGTGGATTGAGAGGTCGCAAAAGCATAGGTGGTCGTAATTAGCCTGTGGCACGAGACAACAAATTGTATTGCTACGCTTGTGATTTGCTGAGAGCGATCATCGAATACCTCCAAAAGTGCATGCACTGCGGTGGCTGTACCCACGCGAAATATGACCAGTAAATAGGCTGCCAACGAACGCCTTCCGAATGGCTGCTGAGCAAGAGGTAAAAGTTCAATGATCCAATCGAAAACTGATCCAACACAAATTGTGAATGGGAAGAGATATGGTCATGGTGGATATCAAAAGTTAAATGGCGACAGGGCAGATCCAAACAGGCAAATATCGACACAACAGATCAAAAGAGTTGTGTATAGACAGAACAGAGGTGGGCATTGATTACCTCTAAAGGGCGTGAATAAGGACGATAGAATAAAGTTTCGGGGGAAAGAATGTGTAAACCTTAAACAAGAGTGAAAATTAAAAAAGCAAGTGGCCAAAGAGTCCGGAAATAGCTAACTGGTTAGTGAGCATAGCCGGAACAGGCATTTCAAATCATGCTGGTCTATAAATCAACATGAAAAAGGTGAGAGGGCAAAATCAAGCCGTACCCTGTTCTTGTCTAAGGTAGCATCGAGACCAAAAGCTGTCAGAAAATTATACTCGGTGCATCCACTAACAAGATAGCGAGATGTCGAATAAACCCAAAACCGACACCCTATCGCTTGCCAACCTCTTTAGTTACAGTATGACAAACAGAATGTTCGTTTCTCCGCGATCCCGGGCCAACCGCGCTGACAAACAAGCGTTTATGGTGCGCGAGCACTACTGTCCACTGGAAGCATGCGTTCTCAGAAGAATGATTTCTGCTGACGCTGTTCTTAGAAAAGGCTTTGTCCTCGATCAGACCCCTCGCTCAGGTTGGTCTCAGACCACGCCACGTAAGTACCCATCTTATGCAGGCTAGTGATGTCGTTAGCGAAGGGCTAGAGATACGAAAACAAGACTTGGATCGAGCACATTGAACACACATGCGGCTTTATTCTTCATCAGAGCGTGTTGTAGTGTTTGGGGGAGCCTGATCGCTACATGGGCTTTCGTGCTCAGCATTAGGAGCTCAGAGTTCTTATGCTGACAGTTATCAACCTCCAATGCACTAGGAGTACGGCTTTGACGCAAAGCAAGCATTAGCTATGTTGTTAATACTCAACGAGTGTTTCAAGCTTTCGTAGCATTAATACTAAAATGCTTTGACACATTGCTGTGTCGCAAACGCTACAGAACACATCCGTTGGAAAAGGCAAGCCAAACTAAATTTATTTCTTTTATCGTGGCGACCACGGAGTCAAATGATATTTTTCCCCGAACGATCGGCTGCTTCAAATAGAAATTCTGAGTCATTCAAAAGGATTTAGAGAAAACTGGTAGTACTGATTAAACCGTACACGTCTGATATAACAATGAGCGAGAAGTAAAAGGTGGGTGCTCCCTTCAATCTTACGTTGTCGCATCAGCTTGAACGGCTCCACCGGAATCGCCCTTGCTGGTAGTCATTGCATAACTTCACCGGTCATATGCCAGTGACATCATCATGTACGTCTAACTTTCCGGACCTAAAAGCCAGTCAATGGACTGTCTACAGGCATGCAAAGTTTCGCGCAGCGTAGGGACGCTACAACTTTGTCACTAACCTAACCGGATGCTTACCCCCTCCCCCCCATAGAAACGTATCATTGTCGCATATAGCTGTGCACCCACCAACGTTAAAACGGCTAGGCCGCATCGAACATAGCTTATTTTGGAAAACCTTCAAAAGGTAGTGGCCAAATTGATTCCCGACCCGAGCGCGTGCTAAGATATATGAATGTCCTATTAATAGCACACGCATTTCCTACACCACGATTACAGTAAACTAGTCGTCATCGTTGTTTTTACAGGGTGTTTTCAGGCACCCAGTAAAAGCAGTTTGCTTTTAGACTAAATCCCATACAAGTATTGGTCAACATCACTCCTAAAGCCATTGGAAAAGTTGAGTTTAAAAAAATGTGGCACGGCGCCAAACTGAAAGAATTTTTTTTGTGTACCACTCGCATGTCACATAAAATATTTGCCTTAATAAAGTAGCACATTTTGGGTTGGGTGGATGGGGCAGTGTGACATTATTAAGGGCAAAAAAGAAAATTGGAGCAGGGAATATAGTTTGTCCCGATGGCTTGGCCCCCAAAACCGGGAGCTAGATCCGTTAAGGTAGCCGGATGTTTAACATACCTCTCCATGCATCCCCGTAGCGACGTAAGTTTCTCGCATATAGCTGTGCACGTACCAGCACTAGAACCCTTCCACCCCTCGTGACAAAAAGTCGTGATAGTTCTCACCACCAAATGCAGATCGTAACAGCTGAGCGGATAAACGATGCAATGATCTTCACACACCTATGGTCATTAGACAGACAGTGGTTTGCGAGGTTAAAGCCAAAAGCTCTGGAGTACGGGGGCGACCTCTTCACACACCTGGATCGTTAGACAGACAGTGGTTTGAGGGGTTAAAGCGAGATGCTCTGGAGTACTGGGGGCGACCTCTTCACATACCTGGCATCATTGGACAGATAGTGGTTTGAGGGGTTAAAGCGAAAAGCTCTGCAGTACGGGGCGACCTGAGTCTTTCATGGTTACCCTTGAACCAAATTAAAGTAAATCCCACACAACCAAGCGCGTGCCGCCTCCCATAGCCGCCTTGGAGGAGCGCCTTCGACGCCCAAAGGTGACCTCTAGGGGCCCCTTCACTTGCCGATCAGAAGAGGTGCGTGCGTCCAGTGCCTGCTTCCCGAATCTACCCCTGCATGACTGCTATGCTGCTTAAATTAATGACTTCTTATAAACTATACAAAAATTTAGAACATATATTGCCTTTCATCACAATAAAGTAGGCCAGATCTGGTGCGAAAAAATGTGGTGGGAGGCTGTCGGGCCTTCGGTTCGCCCGCCCTCGCCCCCAATAGTCTACAAAAATTGACACCCCAGTTATATCTTGAAGCGATTTTGATATACCATGTTAGAACGAGTGGTCGCGTTGTTTTGATGTAATCGTGTTGTCTTTGTGACGTAATTCAGCCCGCACCGGATGTTGGCACGTCGAAAGATCCGCAAATACTCTGAACTGAACTAAACGGTTACACTGCAGATGTGTGCTGCCGAGCGGACCGGTCTATAGCCTGTTACGGGAAAGCTCAAAAGTATCCCTAGAACAGTTTTTTAAAGGGAGTAGGCTTTTTGTACCCTTCTTCTATTGCTGCATCACGCGCGTAGGATTTGATCAGTGATATCAAATTTCTTGAGGTTCCTCTGAATAACTCAATTTCTATTTGAACTCGCGGACCCCGCGAAAGAAATATTATTTGACTCCCTGTTCACTCTATGAGAGTAATACATTTTATTTCCCTTGTTTTTTTCCAGCGTGCGTTTTATACTGCATGCAACATATTGAACCAAAATGTTTGTGTAATAAGTTATTTGAAAGCTTGAAACACTGTAGACAACGAGATAGATACGGGCACATGAAGCTCTTATCACGCGAATTCAACGAAACGTTATACAATGTCCTTTATTTCTTACCTTTCCACACTGGCCCTTTTCGAGGCGTAATTGACTTTGGAAATGAGAGTATCACATGACCCATGAGACGCACTGGCTTACACTTCAACCAACTTATCGGTAACGGGTCCCTGCCCGCTGGGCCAAACCCAAATGTTCTTTTATTTACACCAGTAGAGTTCGCACGGTGGTTGTCATGACGACGGTGGTCGCGCCTGCAGGGAGGAAGCGAATTGCTCTTGCAAAGCGTGACAGCGTAATTCAAACTCAAAAGAAATTAAAACCAATGCCCTTATAACGTCCTGACAGTGCTGCAGTGACATTAGCCAGTGCTATTTTTAGACTAACTAGTCATTGGGTTTCACTACAGGATGCTTGTGAAATATGTACCAAGGTGAAACACTACCTTTAAGCCAGAATCGCCCAGGCAGACGTAAAGAATGACTTACCGTTAAACGGTCAGTAATAATCGGAAGGAAGTATCGGCATGCTCGTGCCCTATATCTGTCCAAAGCGAACATGCTTTGCATGCATCTATGCTATGCATCAACCACTTCTTGCGATGAAGGCTCACGCCGACCTAACGCCCATCTTTCATCCACTGGGGCTATAGATTACAGGAGCACGTTGCATGGGTTCGGGGGCGGTGCAGGGGCGCAGGCGCTATGGGACGAGCAGAACCGAGACGAGCTACTCACAGAACCATTTTGGCAACACCGCAATGGCGAAAGTTGCTAGAGCAGCATGGTGACGGGTCTTTCCCAAGCACGGGGATTCTATAAAAGATGATCATTCGGCGTCGTTTTGAGAGAAGAACCATTGCGGTTTAACCATCCCTAGAACCAGGCGTTAGGCACGAGGTTCGAAACTACAGCTAGGCTTCTTCGCGATGGGAATTCGACTGTAGTACACTTTCGAATCAACCCTGCCTCGAGCTGCCAGAGATCCGGAAATAAATGAGCTTACAACTTGAAGCTATGCAAATTAACCCTTTGACACATTCCTTCTAGTTCGCATATCAATTCACCAAACCGTTTTGTCCCAGGAAAGCTGTCTATATGTAATTGCCACACAGCGTGAACATGCAGCGCAGCCAAGCTTACAATGTGCAAGACAAAAATAATCTGACCTTTGTCGGAACTTATACCTAATATACTCGACACGGCCTAAAAACGAAGCTGCAGGCTCTGTACGAAGTTCATGTAGTACAGCGCGGCCCGGCCGTCTGGAGGCTGATATCTTTCCAAACACCTTTGCAAGCTGTGTGGTATGAATTATCAGGCATTCTCACGCAAGCTGGCCGATCAGGCGATTTTTGGCAGCAAAACCGCATTATCACTACGATTTTTGCTCCCCTATAACCTCCCCCATGAGAGCGTTTACACCATTGCGTTTTTAAATAGGTGAAGGAAGTGGGTCGCATCCGTGTCCAGATTTGGACGGTGCGGTGGGTCACATCCGTGTGCAGATCTAGACGACTCGGCTTCGCGGCAACACGAAACTAACCCGGAGAAGAAAACGGACTCTCGCATAGACGACGAATGTGAGTTGAAGTGTGTGGACTGCAAGCTCATATATTTGCAAACCACGTATCCGCCCGTTTGGGGGTGCAGTTTTCCAATCAGTTGTGGAATTTGGGATCCAGCCCACCCAACCTTGAGAGAAAAGTGGACCATCGCCGGGGAGAAACCAGTCTGGTGGTAAGTTTTATAGGAGGTTTCCTAATTTTTTTCCGGCTCGGCCCCCAACTCACTTTGCGAAACTACGCCCCGGTTCGGGACCAATACCAGATATAAGCAGCCAGAAAAGATGAAAACGTGAAATGAAGTGTACGGTGTGGGCGAATGGGCTGGCTGCATTCACTTAATGATCCCGGGAGCTATACGCGTCACAGGCTCGCCGGTGACCAGGCCGGGAATGTGCTAGTGCCACGTTGTTTTTCCAAAAACGATCTCGAATACAAGGCGCTGTGCCTGTTACCGTGAAAGATCAGGCCATTTAACAACACAGACACGAGCCCTGTTCGTAGCAAGCATTATTCACCAATTTTTGTCGCCTTGCGATGCTTTGATAACGATTGCAAAAGCCGTAAATTAGTGGGAGTTCATGGATGCCCTTGATAAGATTGGCGCCGCGATACCGGTTATAACATCATTATTTATCTTAGTACCAATAGCATTATTACTAGTCGGTTACTAGCATTCCTTTAGATTGGCTCAAGAATGCACATGGCAGGCAGACTTTCTTACGCATCTACGGAAGCTGTTGGCAAGGGTTGCTGAAGGTGTGTGCCTTCGCTGGCTTAGCATTGTCATCGTTTATATGAGGCTTACAAATGCCGACCGAGGAGAAAATGAGCAATGGCATATGCAGGCGGTTTTAACGAGCACGTAAGCCTAATAGTGTTACGTCTGTTTTCGCCTCCCTCGCGTCACGCCGCACAGATAAATATGCTGGCTTTCACACAATAAACTTAATGTACAGGAATTATTCTGGCACCACTAATCATTATGGGCTATGACAGAACGACACTGAAAGTGCCCAATGGTTCGGCATGGCATCATCCCAAATATACGTGCTAGCAGGGTGTCGCTATTTGAGTCTTCACTTATCAGCTGTATCGGACCCAGGTGCTGTACTCACGATTTAAAACGAGGAAGATTAAAATGGGCTTCACCCAACTGCTGCACCACACCCGCACTCCTCTGGACCTTCTGACCCCGCCGGGGTCAGCCCGGCATGACCCCGACGGTCGAGCGTTTGCCCCGGGGCGCAGCCGGCTGGAGGGACGGCCCAACCAATCAGCGATAAGCAGTACGAGCATGATCTCGCTGCACGTGTTCCGTGCAGCACCCCCTCGCCGTCCCTGCTGTTTGTCACTCATGAGATGCCGCTTATACACGAGCCCCGTGGCGGGCAACTATAAATAACAGCTGGTTTGAACCGCCATTAACCAAACATCGTCGAAGCGTTTTCTGACAACCACAAACACATTCGTGAGGAAATTCAGAACACTGCACATATGTGCTGGCAGGATCTCGTCAGTCGTATCTATACGTACCAAAATATGTACCATTGTAACGATTTTATTCTGTCTCTTTTATGGCTGAAACGAGTGGCCTTATCAACGAGTCGCAGTTTCAAAGAAACGTTCGTAAACGTTGAATACCACATTAGAAACAACGTAGTTATCGGAATTTCTCGCTTAACCACCGCATGATGATGCCGACGAGCGAAAGGCCCCATCCGACAACTCAGAGTCGTGACAGGAAGCGGCCGACTGAGTATGAAATGCGTGGCTAGAAAACAAGTGAATAAGGTTACAAGCGCAGGCGTTCGCAATCACCAGTTACAGTGAATTGTTCCAGTCCAGCCTCACTGCTACGGTTCGATTCAGACAGAATCAATTTGTCCAGCTTCTGAAAGAACGTGATTCACTCAATCAACGGCGCTCTGCGCACCTGCGGCGCCATGTGCCAATCACCACGTGCCATCTAGTCGCCACATGCCACATAGTCCACACATTCCATATAGTCACCGCATGCCAGATAGTCACCACATGCCATATACTCACCATGCGCCATAGTCACATGCCATATAGTCGCCATGTGTCATGCATACAGTGCGGGCAAATCTGGACAAAGGTAACGCCGGCACCACTAGATCACCATCGGCCATAACCCGCAGCAATTCAACGGAACACTTTCAGCTGACGCATGAGCCATGCTCGGGTGGAAGTCTCATAAAAATGGGCTGTTCTCTTGAGGACCATGGGCAGCGTATTCCATCCAACCTGTATTGGTGAACTGGACTGACAGCTGAATATGATACAGGCGGGCAGTACAATCACACGCGTGCAATAAAATAGGGGCACAATGTTATGCACCACAAAACGGAGCAACCAAACCCGTCATTGCCTCTGCTAGTTGCGTCCTAAAACATTATGTATTTCTGGCCCTGATGATAGGGCCAATCACAAGGTCATTCACCTCGAAGCCTCTCGGCCACAGCCCGCTGGTAAGTTTATCCGGCCGGCTCCACGCCGCGCTCAACCCATGTCTCGTAAGTAGCACTATGCGCGCTTCTACCAGGTGGCAGCGGTTCTGCCCCGTCCGCTCGACAAATTGCACTGAAAATTACCCTCGTGGTAAGTCTGACGACCAACGAAAGCAAAAACGCGACCCCCAAGAATACATCAGCACCCACATGCACAGTGATGAAGTCGGCGGATCCCCGGCCCCACAGTGAATAAGGCGACGACTTCCTTGCCCCTCGAGACACGCACTGAGCACGGGAACACTGCGTCACCAACCCCGCAGCACGCTCCGAGTTCCACCCGCCGGCACGGGTACGTGCCGTCCGTCCGCTAGAGGTTCGGCTTGATCTGTCTGAGCACGTGAATGCACGTGTCACGCAGCACCTGCGGCTTCACGTCTTCCTCCATCCAGGCGATCATGGAGCCAGAGAGCTCGGCGAAGCTGCTGGTCGACACGCTGGCCTCGAACGACTGGAAGAGGCTGTCGATGACGGCGCGGAACACCTGGAACTTGACCTCGTCCGAGACCTGGGCGTCCTGCGGCCCCGGCCGGTTCTGGTGCGCTTTTACCACCTGGTCGTAGTTGGCCTTGAGGATCTGTAGTGCCACTGCCTCTTTGCGCAGACTGGCCAGCTCTTCCTCCTGGCGCCGCTTCTGCTGCAGCAGGTACTGCGTGTACTCGATTGACTTTTGCAGCACGGCTGCCTTGCTCATCTTGTAGGGCGCGCCGGAGCCGCCCTCCTGTGCGTGGCACGTGGGTACCAGCTCCTGTAACATGTCGTAGCCCTTCTTGATCGCGTCGCGGCGCTTCTGCTCGGCGAAGGTGTGCGCCTCGCGCCGCCGCTCCTTGTACGTCTGCGTGTGCGAGCGGCCGTCGCTGTCCTCGTCGTCGGTACCAGGCGCGGAGTGGGACGAACCGGCAGCCGTCAGCGAGCCGTTGGAGGAGCAGCGCGAGAAGGGCGCCTGTGAGGGCGGCGAGAGCGGCGGCTCTCGCTTCAGGAACACGTCGGTCTGGTCGGGCACGTCGCCGCCCGACGAGCCCCGACGCCGCGACATGGCCTCATCAACTGGAATGGGCAGGTGTGCAGTGGTTAGCTCAGTCAGAAAAGACACCAGGTGGCTGTGTTGCAACCTTGACATTTGAAACTGACAAAACTATGCCTAGCCATATCTGAATCTGGACTCAGGCCTGGGCAAATACATGCTAACTTAATTGGTGAAATTGGTTCTTGAGTGCAGTTAGTTCAGTCACTTTAGGCCAGTGCAAGATGATTCAGTCCAAGGTGCACATGATGCACATATTTCCTGCATTTTCAGTGTTGGGATCACAATGCACTAAATTCTTAAGCACTGCCAATTGTCTGACCTGTTTTCAAAAGAGAATACACCTGCTCATAAAAAGCAGCACAAATTTATGTGCAGATTATGTTTAAACTATGCCCAGTTTCCAACTTGCCAGCACTGGGCATCACAAAATTTGAACATTCCAGTACTAAAAGTAATGAAAAATGTCATACCCATCACATGTGATCTTCTCGCTCCTTTGTAATTTAGATAGCTTATTTTCCATTCAAACAACACACACACTGTGTGGTCATAGACACCACAAATTCTCTAGGTTGCGAGGAACTGGGGGTGACAGCAATTGCATGGCTATTTCTTTCTACTCAACACACAAAGAACCAACATTAGCTTTTCACATCTTGTGTAGCTTTTCACATCTTTTGTGACATCGTGATGCACATCACAACATTGAGGAAGGAGCACTACCCCAGGTCATGCAGTTCATGTGCCCCTACCTGAGGCTGCATTGTTTCAATTATTATAACAGTTCTACACGCTTCTAAAAAACAAACGTGCGCTGTTTATCAAGCTAAAAAGGCAGTGGACAAAATCAAACTGCAAGCAAACAGCCTGAGGTAGGCCAACCCCAATGAGTACATGTGACTCTTTGATGGCTGGACATCTTAATGTATTTATATGTCTTATAACTGGCCGCCACAAGATCTTAAGAAGATACAAGAAACATCATTCACTGTGCTTTCATATGCATCTCAATGACAATCTTTTTGCAGCTTGCAAACAGACAAGTTGAGCAGTATGAACAGCATATGCATTTGTTTCACTAAAAGCACAAAACGACTTGAAAACAATCATCCACACCATATCAATATCGGGAATAATAGCACTATAATATCCTAATAGCCACAGCAGGTCACGTATTGGAAGAGTTTGACTACACGAATCCTACAACCAGTACATGACTTATAAAATTGAAATGTTTCATTGACTATGCTTTCACTTCCACAGTCACAGTCCCTCTGTGAGCGACAAGGTACCTTATATCGGAACCACCAGTACCTCCCAACGGCCCCGGACCCCTCCAGCAGCAAATTAATATGACTCGCAATGTCATGCGTACGGACGATCTGGCTGCGTCACATTGCGCATCGTCGCCAGATTTGTGGCAGACCTGGTCTCCAAAATAACACTAAAAAATACATTTGTGCACCGCAAACGTCCAGGGGCACGCTTTCTGCTGTGCAGTGGCACAGGCAGGGGTGCAAAGGGCAGTGCACCCTCCCCCTGGGTTCTGAGGGGCCTGAAGGGCTTCTCAGAGCCTATGTTCAAGGGCCCGATTTAAGTGCTCGGAGGGCCTGAAAGACCAGTCGGAGGCCTCATTTAGAGGTCCCGGCCCGCAGGGTTGGGCACTCCGATGCCAGCCAGGGGACTCTGTGTGCTGATCAGGGACCCATCTAGTCGATATGGGCCTATATTTCGCTCAGACATCAACCGTAACGCACAATCGGCTTCGTGGTGACATAGCCGGCCCATTTCCGAAGCAGGGACAAAGCCGATTCAGCCGACACAGCGATTTACATTGCTCGTATTCCCATCGCATCCCCACAGCGTCCAACAGGGGCCCTGTGTTGTCCAGGGACACCGAGTCGGCCAGAGGCAGTGTCCGAGGAGGCCCGAAGGGCTTAGAGGGCCCAACGGGTCCGACGATCAAGGGCCCGATTGGAGGGCTTGAAGACATAAACTGATGGTCGAAGTCTTATTCAGGGGCCCGGACCTGCAAAGACGGACCCTCAAATAACGGTCAGAGGGTCCTTTGCACTGATCGGGGACCCTCTGAGCCGATATGGGCCTATATTTTGGTCTGGTACCACTGCACCACATGGTCGGCTCCGTGTCGGCATGGGCCTGAGGACCCACTTCCAAATCAGCTGTAAGGTCGGGGCCAGTGATTGGCACTGGTCTGGGGCCTCGTATCTGTCAAAGGCCCACAGCGCCTAACAGAGGGGCCCTGTGCTCGCAAGGACCTCGAACCGACCAAGGAAAGTCTTTAATGAGGCCCGAAGAGGGGCCCCGGCGATCCATCGGAACTGACGATTAAAGGCCCGGGTGGACGGCGTAAGAGCCCGAATGACTGGCTGCATGACATATAAAGAATCACAGTCCGTGGAGTCGTGACCTGTAATATCAGTAGGAGGTTCCCTTACACCGTTTGAGGAAACCCTGCGGCAATGTAGATGCCTAGGTCGGTCAGAGAACACGAACACCGAAGAATCGGCTCCATGTCCGTCTAGCTCTTGAGACCCATTTCACAAGCAGAAACGAGGCCGGGGTCCTCGATTTTCAATGATATGAGTCCCTGACACAGTGAGAGGCTCCTGTGTCTGTTAGGGGCCAAAGTGCCGAACAGGGGTCCTGGGGCGCCAAGCGTCCCCGAGTCGGAGCGGTCTTTGGGGGACCTGAAGAAGGGTCGAAGGGTTTCTTGAGACTTGACTTAGCTCATGTGCTTAGCTCGCATGGAAGGAAGCACATGATCCAGTCAGTCCTCTTTCTATTGTGTGCACGGGCATTGAAGACATGTCCAGATCTTTTTACTTTGAAAAGTCCAGGTACGTGCAACGTATGCTATGAGGAATGCAAACGCATGCGTAAGCAGATGAACGTCCGTTCTTCCAATGCGGAAAATGCCGTTGGATTTGTCGAGGACGGCTCATTTAATGACATTGAAAACACTATTCGCAATTGTGTGTTCAGGTATACGACGGCTTGTTTATAGCATGCGTATGAAGTGATCTTATAAGGAGATGTACATACGCACTTTCTTTATTGGGCAAGATCACAGAGTAGTCGCATAACGCATAACATAGTCAAAATTATCACCAATAATTGAGCAAAGGTCACCGAGACGCCTACAGCGCCAACCCTGCGTCGAATAACTGAGTGCAAAGATCATATTGCCGAAAAATCTCATTGGGGACAACAGCACATCAGTTCGCTGAGTCGGATGAGACTAAGCATGATAACAACACAGCCGCATATGAACCTTCGCAGCTGTTGTATTCGCCGTCGTTTACGTCGCCTACGCCGCCCAGTGACACGATCACATGACGCCCTCTAAGTTCATCAACTATGGTGCGGGCTCGCTGGCCTCTGTCGGCGGCAGCGCGCTGCTCTCTGTCGTGACCTCAGTGATCTCTCCATCCGACGACTGCGTGACCTCACTGGTCAGTGAGTCCGTCTCCGGGTCGGTGTTGGTCTCCGCACCGTCCACGGAGCCGCCACCTTCCTCAGAACGGGTGGCGTCGTCTTGCTCGACCTCGTCCGTTGACTCGCCGTCCGGATCGTCGGATGGGCTGCCCTCCTCCGAGTCCAGGTCCGAGAGCAGCTCCTCTTCCAGTAGGTGCTGCTCCTCGGCAGACGGGGTGACCGCCTGCGCACGACCGGTGACCGGTGTGGATGTGGTGAACAGGGAGGCGATGACAAAGCTCGATGTAATGCTCGTCTGAGCGATCGAGTCCAAAATGTCATTTTAACCCTAAATAAGCTTTATCTCGCCAACCAAATCTAGCTACCTGTCTAGATCGGCGTTCCTGACTGAGACTGGCTGCTTTAATGCCCTCAGCCCTCCCTGCGCTTGCTGCGACAGCTCAGCCGTCGCCTCTGACCTCGTGTAAATGGCGACCACGCCCCCGTGAACGGCCAGCCGTCCTGGCCTTTGCCTGTCAAAAGTGCGTGGCACTCTCGGCGGGTCGCCCTCGCCCCGCCCACCTTGGCCCGGCTGGTGGTGATGAGCCAGCCGGGGGCTGGTGACAGGTGCCGGCGGGCCACCAGCGCGTTGAAGGTAGACGTCTGCACCAGTCGCAGCAGCACCAGGTTCAACAGCCGCAACACGATCAGCACCAGCAGCGCCACGCCCAGGCCCGTCAGTTGGCGATCTATGTACTCTTGCACCTGGGGAGGGTGTGTGAGCATTCCAGAATACGAGTCAGCATAGCATTTATATTTTCAGGCTGGACTGCCGCGTAGCACATTCTTCTGTTCCGTACTTGGCATTCACACAACTGCGACGGCTTTCAAATCGTGCGATGTAAAATGACGTGTGACATTTGGCTGGAATAGAGGCAAGCACATTGCGCAATTCCTTTTCGTGGCCCACTATACCTACATGTTACCAGGGATCAAAGGCTGAGAAGTACCTGCTTCGGACAACCGCGACGGAAGATAGTGGCATTGCTATTGATGTCGTATCCATGCGATTTGAACACCAGGTACTGCCGTCTGCACCAAGTTGTGGCCGCGTCCAGTCGACAGCAGCTGAACGGCACTTCGGCAAATGACGTCATGGCCACATATTCGTCAATCAGGCTGTCGCCCACCTGAAGATTGAGGTGTCGGCTCGTCACACGTCCTGATCGGATCACATAGCACACAGTTGACATAGCTCCGCTGGTTTTGAATGACCATTTTTGTACAAATTAGGGATTCGGTGTTGTGGCGTGGGACATCACTGATTGGTGCCAATCTCATGGCTGCTGCACTAAAGAAAAGGAGCTGAATCCTTAATCGGCATTGTTTAGAAGAGCAGTTGTCACGTTTCGCCTTAACTTCTTTGGACAAACAGATCAGTTAGGACAATTGGAAGCAGAGAGTCACGTATAATTATAATAAAACTGTGTGCCTGATGTCTCCGGCCTAGGTAGCCTGTAGCCAGGTGAACACGTTTTCAAAACCCTAACATGTTTGAGAATACTGGTCGCAGCACCATGCGGTCTCCAGCGACAATAAGTCCATGTTTTTGTTCTTCTTCAGGTACTCCACCAGCTTCGGTGGGCAGGCTTCTCTGGCCGCTTGGCAGCTTGGCGGCATGATTCACCTGATAGTGCGGAAATAGCAAACCCCGGGACCGGAACTCGGATGCCTGGAATACGGTCCGCTACACCGCCCTTGTACCACGGTGGCCAAGCAAATGACTGCACTTTTTCCTACTTTTTTGTTGGACCTTTTCTAGATGTGACTATGCGAAGGTTTTTATTTTAACACACGAATAAAAACACAGGCCTCAATATACCAAGCTGAAAGAGGCATTCACATACCAACCAATCAGCAAAAGCAGCAAAAAATCCATACAAAGCGCGGTCAATTTATGGGACCCCTGTGGTGTAATGGCATGCATGACGGACCTGCAGTTCAGAGATCCGGATTTGCGTCTCGGTGGGTGTACCTGACTTTTTCGCACTGTCAGGCAAAAATGCCGTCGAGCTTCATAAAATTCGGGCACATAAAACATTGAGTAGCGGAAATACCACAAGCATCAATATGCCCAGCTTAAAAACCACCAAAATGTTCCATTCTTTCAAGTTGTGTAGCATAACTTGCATGCCATTCGCATGTAAGCTCTCCGGTCAGGCGTGGCTTTCCTGCAGTGTTGCAGTACTAACAAACCTCAGCCAAAGCAAAGCCGAAACAAAAACAAAAAAAACCTAGAGTCGTCAGACCGTCCGGTTGCGGGTTGCTTGTGCCCGTGCTGGGCTCGGTTGTCTGCGCACGTGCTGGGGTCGGTTGTCTGTACCCGTGCTGGGCTCGTTTGTCTGCGCACGTGCTGGGGTCGGTTGTCTGTGCCCTAGATGGGCTCGGTTGTCTGTGCCCGTGCTGGGCTTGGTTATCTGTGCCCGTGCTAGGCTTGGTTGTCTGTACCCGTGCTGGGCTCAGTTATCTGTGCCCGTGCTGGGCCCGGTTGTCTGTGTCCATGCTGGGCTTGGTTGTCTGTGCCCGTGCTGGGGCAGTTGTCTGTGCCCGTGCTGGGCTCGGTTGTCTGTGCCCGTGCTGGGCTCGGTTGTCTGTGCCCGTGCTGGGCTCGGTCCCAGGCCCAGGACGACGCACCAGTTGTTTGTAGCGGTCCAGCAGGTAGGCGAGTCGCGTGGCCGACGACCGCTCGTAGTTGGACATCAACGACATCTCCCGCCACTTGGGGTACCGCTCCACCTGGGAGGATAGCGCTGCCAGTCAGCAGAAGTAAAGCACGCCGGCAAGTCAGTGGCAACGGGTGACGACTCCGCATCGGCCTCGGTCAGATTCAAACGGCCTTAGTTGGTGCTAGAGGAGCATTCCTGGTTATCGCTGTGCCACGCTCCTCTGAATAATCGTTGTTGATAGTCCGTCAAGCTGGTGTCGTATTCGTGTTTGAGTGCAGTGTCGAGTTCAGATTTCCATCGGTGGTCTTTCGAGGTCAAGCTCACTGAGTTATTCACAAATCTGCAGTCCCTTTTTTTCTCGAAATCACTTCGTTTGCCTTCTACAAGCCAATGAAAGGCCAAGACTTAAGTACCCCGACATTCCATTGTTTATGGGAGAAATCCAAGAAAAGGAACATCATATTGATCCTTGCTATGCCCAATTTCGTCATCTTAAGAAATTACTTAATAGGGCAAAATTCAAGGTCACCTACAACAGGATATCCTTTCATTTCTTCGATTATGAAGAAAGTGCAATAACAAGGTGTCATATTGATGACTGCGATGTTCGCTTTCGTCGCATTCGCAAAAAAAACTTCGAGGTCAAAGGCCATGGTCACATAAGCACCACATCCCAACATTTATTCGTAATCAAGTGAAACAAAATGGATATAATAGTTATAATCGAGGCGTCTAATTTCGTCAAGCCAAGAAAAGGTAAAAGGCCAAGTTCGCACAAAAAGCATCAATATAGAATTTGTTCATTGAACCTAAAACACAATACAACGGGCATCATGTTGGTGCTCGTGATGCCCACTTTTCTTACACAAGCAAAAACAAGCTCTCACGGTCAAAGATCAATGTCAGACAAAACGCCCTTTCTTGGAAATTATTCGTTTAGTAAAGAATAGAGCAAAATGGGTATCATAGTCGTGCTCGCAATGTCCACTTTCGTGATATCAAGAAAGAGGTATTTGTTGGTCAAATGTCAAGGTCTCAAAGCATCACTCAAATCACGTTACCCTGATATTTATTCATTTACTTGAGAAATGCAACAAAGTCATGTCATGATGATGCTGGTGAAGTCCCTTTGATCA